CCCAGATGGTTAGAGGATGTTCCCAGGGAGCCGGAAAAAGAGTGTATTTTCAAAATAAAACTCCAAAATAGTTACAGGATGTTCCTAGGAAGCCTAAAAGATGCTGGATTTTCAAAATAAAACCCCCAGATGGTTACAGGATGTTCCCAGGGAGGCGGAAAAAGAGTGGATTTTCAAAATAAAACTCCCAAATAGTTACAGAATGTTCCCAGGAAGCCTGAAAGACGCTGGATTTTCAAAATAAAATGCCCAAATAGTTACAGAATGTCTCCAGGAAGCCTGAAAGATGCTGGATTTTCAAAATAAAATGCCCAAATAGTTACTGAATGTTTCCAGGAAGCCTAAAAGACGCTGGTATTTCAAAATAAAAGTCCTGGATGATGACAAGACCTTACCAGGAAGCCCGAAGGAGTCTGGATTTTCAAAATAAAACCCCCAAATAGAAACAGGATGTTCCCAGGAAGCATGAAGGAGGGTGAATTTTAAAAATTAAATGCCATGGATGGTGATAAGACCTTACATCATGGTTTCTCTCTGTCTCTCTGAAATTGGTCAAGTCTCTCACTGACCTGGATCATGTATGTTTATAAAATCAAGCAGCTTTTGGTCATGTCTTTCGCTCTCACCGTCTCTCTCTCTCTCTCTCTCTCTCTTAAACGTAATGTCTCTATAAAATTGGATTTCATGTAAACCTGGATAATATGCGTCTCTCTGTGCGAGCGGCGGCGTCAACGAGCACAAGGCACCCATTCAAAATCTCTCGGCAGGAGAGATTTTCTAGTTTCCTCTGCCCTCGCTCGCCGTGGCTCCTCGGCTCCTCCTCTTCCTCTCTGGACCCTGGATTGTCAGAGTGTCCCCGGTCTCTGCGGGGCTCCGGGGCACGTCTCTGTGTGACAGGTTGACTGACAGGTCCGTCCATGTGAGAATGTAGAATAATGCCACCTGTACGCACAGAGTCATCACACCTGCCCCACAGGAAACTGTGACGAGTGACAGCAGGAAGTTGTGTGTGAGGAGCAATTTATTTTTCTTGGCAGGGTGAGATCACCTCTGAGACGCTGCTCACATGTCCACATGACAGCTGAAGTCTCAATAATCAAATCCTCTGGATCTGGAGACACTCAGGTGCGATGAGGTGATGCGTAGAATGGTCTGTGCGCCGTCTGGACCATGATGCATTGTGCTGAGCGTAGACTGTCAGGAGGTGTTGATGCATTAAACAAACACGATGGTCGACACGTTTAGTTTTGATCACATATTATATTTTATCACACTGATGTATATGTAAGTGTTCGTCCCAGAGATGTCTGGACAGTGGGAGGAAGTGGGGACGTGACGTTCATCTATAGACATGAAGTCTGTAAAACAGAATCTGGACATGTCCTGTAGTCAGTGTTTGTCCTGTGAAGCAGCAGACGTCCGACTCGTTCAGGAACATGTGGGGGACATTCAGGTGAGGGGGCGGAGCCTGTAGAGCAGCAGGAGGCGGGACATGGCGTCTAAACTGTGTAAAGATCAGTGTTGTTGTTTACAGCTCGTCCACACGGCGTCGGCCCTCATCACCAAAACATCTGGAACCTCCTCGTCTTTCCAAGTGGACGTCTTCGTCTTCTACGTGTACGGCTCCTCTTCTTCATCCTGAGACGTTTGTGTTCTTCAGTTTCACGTCCGTCACGTGTTAGAAACCTCAGAGACACGCCCACTCACTGAGAAGGTTCCAGACGTTTTACTAGAGGCTGCAGGAGAAGATCCAGAACACGTCCAGAGACACTGACTCAGACATTTGTTCAGCTGAAGTGTCCCCTCAGTTAGTACCCTCCCCTAATATATATGTATATATGTATTAGTTATCAAACTATCACTCATGTCCCAGGCAGAGGTGGCTGAGGGCTCCGGACGTTGTTGGGTTGTTGTTCACAGTGTTGCACGGAGATAGAGGACAGTACCAGTGAAGCAGCTGAGTTGGGTCCCCTGTTCAAAAAGGGGGCTGGAAACTACCAAGGTATCACACTGCCCAGCCTCCAAGGGAAAGTCTATGCCAGGGTCCTGGAAAGAAGTCTCTGAYTGTCAGATTCAGACGGAGCAACACATGTTCCATTCTGGTTGTGGAACAGTGCACCAGCTTTTTACCCTCGTGAAGGGGGGTCATGGTTCTGTGGACTTGGAGAAGGTGTATGAATGAACCCAGGGAGCCCAGTGCAGAGTAATGCAGGAGCACAGTGTGAGACCTGCATCATTCTGGAACTGGACTTCACCATTGGACTCCACCAAGGTTGCCCTTTGTCTGGTCCTGTTTGGGATTTTCATGGACAGGATTTCAAGGTGCAGCCGGGGGAAGAAGAATCTTAAATTTGGAAACTTTAGAATTTCATTTTTGCAGACGATGCTGTTTTTTAGCCTCGTCAGATTCATTGCACCCTGGGGCAGTTGTCAGCTTCAGCAGTTGGGATGAGATCAGCAGCTCCAATCCGAGGCCATGATCATGTAAAGCTTTCGACCAGTAGATCTACATCCCAACCAAACCTGTGAGATGAACAAACAGTGAATGGTTCTGTGGATACAAGCGGTCGAAATAGTTTTTCTCCATCCGATGGCTGGACTCAGCTCTGTGAGTTGTTTAGAATTCTGGAGCGAGCTCGGAGTAGAGCTGCTGCTCCTTCTCATGAAAAAGGGAGAGAGGTGGTTCAGGCATTTTATCAGGAGGTTATTAAGTTATTAGGTTATTAGGTTATTAACTTCAGCTCTGCACGTCCTGACCTTTGTCTGCAGGAACTGACACAAACCTCTTTGCGTCATTTATTTAACTAGAATTATTCTGAACTTTGAACACAATCATATTCAAGCAGCCATTTCACAACCAAGTCTTTTGTCGGTGTGAGCTTGTTGCTGCCAAACGACTTTTGACCAGTTATCAAATCCAAGGCTTGAATTACTTTTTACAATCATGTCCTGACACACCTGAGAAACCAGGAAACATCTGTTAGTCACTGAAGAGACGCAGCCTGAGAACCAGACGATCACATTCACCGTCCAAACCAAAGTTAACGTCCTCTGAGTGAGTCCAGCTACAGGAGACAAGAGGAAACCTACAACCTGCCGACGCTCCACACACTGACCGTGAGTTTAACAAACACCTCGACTCAAAGTGAAAGTAAACTCAGTGAAGCTGGAGGAGCTGTGACTGACTGTACTGTCTGTTTTCAGCTTCACCTGGAGACTCAATGGCTTCCAGATTAGAAGAGGATCTCTGCTGTCCCGTCTGCCATGATGTCTTCAAAGATCCTGTCCTTCTGTCATGTAGCCACAGCTTCTGTAAAGACTGTGTGAAGAGCTGGTGGAAAGACAAAGAAGTAAAAGACTGTCCACTTTGTAAGAGAAGATCTTCAATGACCCACCCACCTGTTAGCCTGGCGTTAAAGAACCTGTGTGAGACCTTCTTACAGGAGAGAGATCAGAGCTCTTCACATGCTCTCTGCAGTCTGCACTCAGAGAATCTCAGACTCTTCTGTCTGGACCATCAGCAGCCAGTGTGTGTCGTCTGCAGAGATTCAGAAAAACACACCGACCACAGATTCAGACCCATCGATGAAGTTGCACAACAACACAAGAAGCAGCTTCAGGAAACTCTGGAGCCCCTGAAGAGGAAGTTAAAGAGTTTTCAACGTGTTCAAGAAGAGTTTGAACGAACAGCAGGACACATTCAGGTCCAGGCCGGACGCACAGAGACGCAGATCAAGG